GTACATTTGCACACATGGGTTTATGAACCGAATGCAGACCTTTTCTTCAAAACATCATTTCTTGCGAACCATTTAGCTTTGGCTTAGGAAAATATCTTCGTTATATTTACAGACAGTAACAATTTATACGTGGGAAATATTTGTGTATTAATTGTTTTCACAGTGATTGCATAATAAAATGCTTGGGTTTGTTCACAATCGATAAATTTACGAGCTTTAAAAGTCAAATCAAAAATTTTGAAAGGCTTTCAAATGATAACTAAACCGAATTGACGAGTTTAACATATTGCAATAGCATAATAAAAAATGTTCTCCGTGTTCTCAAATGTTTAGATATAAATTTTTCTAATAATTATTGGTTATATGATAATTATTTCTTGAGAATTTTCACGTTTCTCATGGTTTTTATATTCATGTCATAGGAATTATAAATTATGATGGTTAAATTTTCATTTTCTATTATTACGTTAATAAGATGCGTTAATTTGGTTTAATTTTTTGAATATTTCAAAAAATTTTGGTTTGACTTTTAAGTCTCGTAAACTATGAAATCCGAATATACTGTTATTATATTATTATTATTATTATTACCACTTAATATTCGTATTAGCAATTTAAACCCAACTGGTTCAAAAAAAATTTGAACTATTTGTAAATAATATGCATGTAATTTGTATTTGCCTAATTTTTACAATTGTATACAAGCGTATAATATTTGAATAACTTTAATTTTAATTATGGGAAAGAACAACATTTATTTATAAAATCTATCAATTTCGCACGCAGAAGAACAGCTTAAAGCTGATAGGAAATCATATTTCACAATAAAAAGATATAGGTGAAGAATATTGAAAAATTGTGAACTGTTTATTTGACTTTTGAACCGGTTATTTAACTGGCAGTTCAAAACTTAAATAACCATCATTGCCAAAACTGGATGAAATAGGGAAATTAAAAACTGAAACTATCCAAAACTAGTTTAGGGGAAAAAAATAAAAAATCTAAACCTAATACTGAAACCTAAATACATACTAGAAACATAAATCTTAAGAAAACTATAATTCCCATCGTAATATAAATTAATCTTATGATAATCCATGGATTAAATTTTTTAATTGCATAATTTTTTGGGAAGCTGATAGTGTTTAAAAATATTCTGCCAAATAAAATGGTATTAGTCGCGGGACATTGCGTAATAGTATGTACCATATAATTTTTGCCTCATTTTTTGAAATATGGCACAATCGTATGCGAGCCAAAATCTCGAAAACTGACATCACCATATGCGGACGATTTCTGGGTAGGTCTGACCTTTATCCCTACGTTCGAAGGGATCTTGGCGAGGGATAAATATAAATACACAGTGTATCTCGATTTAGTGGATCTCAATTTAGCGGATTTAAGGGCTTAACGGATAAAATTTCAAAACCCAATCCATCTATAATTGTTTTATATTGATTTAACGGAGTTAACGGATTTTTCATATATATTCGATTTATATGTTCGACCATAATAAAAATATCTCGATACAACAGATAATGTCGATCATTAACTAATACAAGCACCAAACGCAATATGATGAAATTCGAATTTATTATTATTTGTTACATTTTATTTGTTTTAATAATATTATTGTACAACGTATCACATGATTGTTTCATCAATCTTGGTTTTGCGGATTAATATTAATATATATATTAATATATATTTCCTTTTTTATTTTTGCATATATTTAAATTGTGTCGTGTAAGGACCAGGAAAACTTTATTATTATTGAATGTCACCTTTCCTCTTTTTTTAAAGTACTTTCGAACCATAATGTTGGCGGTGACATTCAATAGAGTTTTCCCGGTCCTAATATATGGTTATTGTTATTGTGGTGCAAGATGTAACACAATATTTTTAATAAAAATTATTATTATGTATGTAACATTCCCTTTCGTAAAAGAAAATCACGCTATCTGTAAATAATCAAAAAAAAAGTGGATAAAATTCTTAAAGAAAATATTAGATTGTAGTTTGAGAATAATCAAAATCAAGAATTTGTAGCCTTTCTAATGAGGGAACTCGGCTCATTGCAACATATACTTGTCATCCAGCAAACATACTCTCATTAACGCTCAATGTTACATGTGGTAGAGTTAATCCTTGAATTTCGTGAACAGTTGGAGAAAATGCATTCTAAAGAGAGATTTTTTTCTAGATGCACCTTTACCATTAATTTCAAAAATAACGTGTTTCTTATACTGGTCAGGTCACCTAAAATTCTCCTCATCACAAATATTCGTTACCATCCCAACAGTTCCGTTACATATGTTTGTTATTAAGAAATACGTGCGCTTTCTTGTAGATATAATTTATGAGGTAGGTTTTTGAATTGAATGATTGAGTGATTATTATTTAATATTTCAAAGTCTAATGTATCCATGCATCCAGAAAATCATTGGATGCTTCGATGATTAAAGAATATCATGTTAAGGAATTCAGCCACAACTACATGTGTGGTATCGTAAAAACTACGATAATTGGTTTCTTTGTACCTGTTAAATTTTTTGTTGGCTCTAAAAGATTTTTAATATTAATATGTAAGATTCTTTACCCCCGACCCTGACCTTTGTCGCCACCAGTCCCAATTTTTTTAATTGGTGAACTATTTATTTTCTCTAAACGGAAAACCGGAGATTTTAATATCTAAAAAAAAGGTTATATTCATTCCAAATTCAGAATTTTCTATTTAAGAATGTAACCTAATGTTTAGAATAAATTTTAAAGTTTTTTAATAATGAAAATAGAAATTTTTTAAAAGTGAAATGAAACGTTTAACAAATGAATTGTTAATTAAAATTCTTAAACGCTTGGAAGAGGATGATAAACGAGCCTTGGTTTCTTTTAATTTAATAAATAAACGTTGGCATGGGATCTATATGATGTTGTTATGGATGGATCCATTTGTATTTTAAAATATTAATAAACTATTTGGCACGCGACACTCTTTTATTAATTAAACTTCAAATTGTTAGAAAAACAACATCATTACAACTATCCAACATTCGTCAAAAAATTGGCCATTTTTGTAGGAAATTTCCAGGATTTAGTAAAAGGAGAAAATACTAAAAGACAACATACAAGTTTATTAATTAAAAATTTGGTAAATGGATGAAACTATTATTTGCCAAATGATTTCCACAACAACAAAGAATTCCGCTTTGAAAATATTCAAGTATTGCATTATGATAATAAAGACTCGCCTGGATTATTGGAAAAAGTTCGTTTTCCACACAAAGCTATGCCTATATGAAAGCTTGCAATATTTTCCATCTTTTCAACCACTCATCAAGTTTATAAAGGTAATAAGTGGATGAAAATCTTAGTTTTGAAGTAAAAAGTAATGCTGCTCTTGAGTAACTATAGCTTAAATAAAAAGCCTATATCAATATGGAGAGGATTCATTGGAAGCTATAATGGCACAGTCTTATAATGATGTTATAACGATTCGAAAGACTGTATTTATAAACAAGCCTGACTTGTCCAATAATGCCTTCAAGGTATTTGTAAATAAAGAGCAATCTTTTTTTACCAGAAGATGCACTATTCTTAATTTAGATTGCCAATTTATCGGTTCGCCTAATACCTCGTCATTTTTTTTATTATTATTACAATACTTAAAGAAAAATAATAAATAAATTTATAAAATTTGATAAATAATAGTTATTCCACGAGGAACCATGTAACAGTGATTTATCCCATGTAGGCTAGCGCCCTGTGATTAAAAAGGTTATTTTATTCATTAAAAACATTTATCTCCCTTTCACTT